GGGTTCCGAGATAGCGTGTAGGTCGGCAACATCAAGTTTATTTTGAATGTTAACCAGCGATGGTCTGACATCGAAATGTTACGAGACACTTGCCAATTTAGAATTGATTTATAGTTGTGGACGAAGTGATATCTATTAGTGTTTGACTGTGAGAGTTTAAAAATGTTGGTGTAGTACCTCTATTTAAAATACAAAAATTTTTGGTATTTATGTAATCATAAAGTATTTAGTAAATAGGGTAAAAAGAAAAGGAACAAAGAAAAATATCGATTTCAAAAATGAAATAAAAAGTATATGTCCGAAATAAAAAAAGAGGTGCTTCAAACGAAACATCGTTAAGAAAATGTGGCTAGGCTATTTGACCTTCAACGAAAAATCTTTTTAATTAATTAGAAAACGTAATTTTTCCAAATAATATCTCGGAAATCTTTTCATGATTAAATTCTTGCTTCCGTGTATTACTCTTCTTGATTATTTTTGGAAAATGCAGTTAAAAGAGGTTGATTTTAATTCCTAAATTTACCAATATTAAAATTTTTATTAGTTTTATTTAATTATAATCATTATTTATTACAATCTTCTCTAACTATTCCGATTTTTATTACTCGCTATACTCTTAATAACCGTAAAGTGTACTGCCATTGAATATAATTCATAAAAGAAATAATTTCGAGAGACTGCTATTATTTGGATGAAATGTAACCAATAAAAAAATTATCATAATATATCACACCATAAAACACTTTTACTTTATCCCCAGGGTAAATACTTTTAATTATGTATGCTACATATATAAAAAAACAGTAATATGCATAAAATATATCTTGTTATGTAGAAAGTTAACCTATACATGAAATACGGGTACACATAGTACTGGATTTGCATAAATTGCAAATAAATTTAGTTTTTAATGCTGAATTCAACAATGATATGCATAGTTCAAAATTTAATTAATTATTAATGTCAAAATATGATAAATAACATTAGGTTAAAAATAATTAAAATAATTTTAATGTTTGGCATATGGTCTCACAATTTATTGAAAAATTATTATTAGTTACATAAACAGTTTGTGTTTAGCAATTTTAATAAGTGCTTTTTTATTTCAATTCCTTTTAAAATTTAAAACATACTAAAAATACCTTCATGAAACCTTGGGAAAATAAATTGGAAATATAACAAATGTAGGCGATGAACAATTCAATAGTTTAATATTGTACCACTATAAAATGGTTAGGGAAAAGTCTGAATGAATATATAGTGCTATTAGTTCATTATTTGAATGTACAATGCGTAATTCTGTTTTGTTTTCTACTAGTCAACTGCCTCTTCAAGCTTTAGTTGTAAAACCTACACCTTGCATTTTTTTTAGAATCTACATATACATCCTAAAACAATTAAAATGAACTACTGTTAATAAATTAGGAATACCACAAAATATTTATTTAAATTAAATATCGCGACTAGTTTTGACCTATATTGCCATCTTCAGGCCTATACTACAAAATTACACAAAAAAGTGATTACTTTAAAAATTGTTGTTTACAGTAAAAAAAAATGAACAATGCAAATATTATAAAATTATTATAAAAAAATAATAAATAGGTCTTAATAAATCTGATAGCAAAATTTATAAAAAAAAGTGTTGACATATTGACAAGAGAGGGTAACGATCAAAGTAGAAATAACTGGAATATCCGAAAAATAGGAAACATGTCTTGCTTGATCCAATTAAAGAAACGAAAAAGATAAAATGTTGTGTCCATCTACGTTAGCAAAAATGTTTTGAGACTTAGTGCGTGCACCTCAAATTCTTGCAGGTATTGAATGATTTTAATAAAGAAACAGAAAAATAGCTAAATAGCTAGTGATGAATTTGTCTTCATCACTACCAACCACACTAACTAAAAGAATATATTAATATTTAAGAAATGAAAGAATTTTTATTTAAAGTGTCTATATGAAAAAGGAAAAACGTATATTAATATATTTAACAGTTTACTAAATTAAAGTTGGGCGCTTTCAGCGGTTAAACCATCATTGGGATACTGCAAAGATTTATAACTAATTAAACATTTTTAAACTAACTCATCATAAAACATATTAAAGGGTTACAGAATATCGAAAATAAACCAACAGGGTACCAACTGAATATTGGTTAAAAACTTCAAAATCTCAAGTCAAAATATGTCCACGCGTCGATTAGTGGAATGTAACGAAAAGTGATGAGTCAAGGTTTGTTCTTTTCCTTTTCCAGCTTAAAAAAAATTATATAAAATGAGCGAAGAGAAATTGCTAATAAAATAAAAAGCTTGTTTACCATTAATAAACTGACGACTGAAATTGAAAATTCAGGAAAATTTAAAAATATGATCAACAAAAGAACAATTCTTGGATTAATAACTGATTACCTGCTCCGAACAAGATTGTAACCAAAAATCACTCAAAAACGGTGCTAAGCATGAAAAACATGTTTTAGGTAATACTATAGTGCGATTTTTGCTGCATTGTACCTTAAAATGTATATCATTAAGGATCATTTTGGCTTACAAAATTTGTCTCGACCTGAACAAGTTTTAACATCAAGAGGTTTGTTGTTCTGAAAATCTTTATTGTAAACTTTATTTTTTGATGGTTACAACCTTGTTCTGGTTAGGTATTCAATTAGGACATGTTGTAAAAGTAATGTTAAAAAATCGTGTAGATGCCATCACTACATCTTGACCAAATTTATATGAGACCACCCCTAAAGTACCACCTTTTTAACAAAAAAAGAATGAATGAAGTTGGACATCGCGGTAAAGAATTATGGCTGAACATACATAAAAAAAAATAACCCGACGAATTGAGAGCCTCTTCCTTTTTTGAAGTCGACTAAAAATCACAAAAGGCATTGTCACAACCAAAGTCGCAACCAGACCAATCCTTCTTACTAACAGTAGTGGTTCACGAAATTAGCAATCACTGGAACTGGCAAAGTCTGAGATGTAAATCATATTGGATTTAAAAAATAGGAAAGAAAATTATTTTTGATACCTGAACAATTCTGTTGACAAGTAACAGAACTGTGACATAACACTGAAGTTTACAAAATGTTTTGCCAACATACAGACAAAACTGTTTTTGAAAATTAAGATAAGACGAATTTCCAAGACCTTGGCAAGAGACTTTGAAATTGTTTTACAATAAAAGCTAACAAATAAAATTAGAAAATTACAAACATATTAAAAATATTTTTGAATAGGTAAAAGAATAAAGCTAAAATTAATTAAATTTCAAAGCGCAACAATTGACACAGTCGATGTCAGCAACAGCCAGAGTTGCAACCAGATCAGTCTTTCCTACCAACAAAACTAGCTTTAAGAACGGCAACATCAATACTGATTTGAAAAAGGTACTAAGAAAGGTGTCTTGCTCTACAACACTGCACCAAGATAAAGAATAAACATTGGGCCTCCACTTTCTGTTGCATGCCTCTCTCTCGCCAACGTGGAGAAATTTGGGCTTGAGATTTTAAAGTTCACATTAACTGTAATATGTTTTTGAAGAGTAAGTTTAAAAATGTTGAAATAATTATAAGGCTCTTATCTAATCTGTTAATATTTGCAATGTTGCGCTAAAAGTACTTCACTTTAATTTAATAAACTTGTAAATATATTATTAATTTTCTCTTTTCATAATCACTTTAAATACAAATTATTTCATTCAACCATGGCCTTCATTAGAAGGCGGTGAACTATAAGTTAGACATGAGCCACAATAGATACATTTGGGTCGTAGTGGAAGGCAATGAGATCATCTTACTTATTTTCAATCTAACCTAACTATTTTTATAACCACCTTAAATAGAAATTACGAGTATTTTATTTCTTATTATCCCATTATGTACGTACCTCTTACACTCTTGAAATAAAATTTAAATAATCTTTGAGTTGAAAGGACACCTTGTGTTAACTGTGTAAAATACACACAATGACGTACGACATGTAAAACCGGAAATTACCTACTTTCTAGATTGTCAAAAGTAAATTAGACAGCATTTTGACAGGTTGTTAGAATGCCTATTTACTTGCTCATTGTATTTCTAACTTTCTAACTTTGCGATTGACAATTGATGCAAAAAAATACATTATGTGCCGTCTAACTTTTTAAACATCATTAGTTTTTAATTTGTAATTGTTTCATGTTTTTTAAAACATAATTTTGGGTTTCATAAAAAAAATAATATATTTAAAACGTATGACGTTTCAAAAGTTAGACAAAGCTTACTAGTATTTATTATTGGAAGTACGATTTTTGCCATATACAGGGGTAAGTTAAAAAAAAATAATAAGTTGATATTTCAAAAAATGTTGTTTGTTGTGATAGATCGATGAGAAAATATTGTAAAAAAAATATTACTGTTATTATCAAAGACATTTTAAAATTGATTCACAGTTGAAGGCATGAAGTTCTTATTAAACTAAATATTGTTAAAACTGGTAGTAAATAAAATCGCGTATTCCAAATGTTATGTAATGGCTCATTCACAGATCATATATATAATGTATTCATAGCTACTAATACGGGGTGATCCATAATATACTTTTGGTTACCAATTAAAGAGCCTATTTTAATGTGTTATATTTTTTGTGCAACTCCTAGGAAGACAACCAGTAACTTGCAGTTTTCATTATTTTTATGTACTTATACTTCACATAGGGTCCTTAAACGACATCTCATTGCTGCTTTTCAAGACACGCAACGACAATTTTATAATTATCGGCGTCATATCAAATTTTCTTTATATTGTGGTGTAATAATTTTATTTTTTAATATAATATGAAGTGTTTTGTTTAAAAGAAATGGAAATTTATCTTTCTCGATTTGTAGTAGAAAAATAATTAATGCATATTTACACTATTAATAAAAGCAGATTTATAGATATCATTTAAGGACTTCAGATTTCATCAAGAATTATACACAAATGACACCAATTTCAAACATTTTCCCTTAAAAATCTACTTCTCCGATATGACTAAGTTTTTCGGACAGTCCTCCTCATTAATAACAGCCTTTTTTTTCAAAATACCCAAATCGGTCACATTTTCTAAAAAACTTTTATGAGCACTCAATATTTTGGCGCTTTCCACGTCTTTTTTTAATTCTTCCATATCACGTTTTAGTTTTGCGCGCCTATTTTGGAACCACGTAATCACTTGAGCGTTCGTTAGCCCGAGGGACGAGGCGATTTCGTCCCTGTCGGCAGGACTAAGATATTTTTGGTACAAAAATCGTTTTTCTAACTCGAAGATTTGATGATTGGTGAATGCTGTCCTTGATTTTCGTTTTTTCTTTGGTTGTTGTCGATTGTTGAATAGATTGAGGTGATTTTGACCATCTGAAACAAAAATAAAAAGTTCATTAGTATATGTCGGTATTTACTTAATACGAAATATCGATAATTTTTAAACTTGTTCAAAATATGTAGAAAATAAAAATTAATAAACATATCACGTTCTTAAATGTTATATTCTGTATCTATAATTGCGAAACGTCTATAGAAAATCTAACGATAATACGATCGATTAAAGTTCGGTAAGATAATCCTAAACTTTTAGGAATATGAGTGCCTCAGAGATCTGTCCTTGGGCCACTCTTGTTTATAATTTATGTCAATAACATATTGAACCAACGATGAAAAAAAAAATGGTGATAATATGTTATGGTTACCTCCCTACTGTGTTTTAAATGTAATTGAAATATTATGGATCCCACTAAAAATAAAAGTAAAAACAAAAAAAAAAATTAAATTTGTATATATTTTGGGAATTGCACAAATTACCATAATTCCATGTAAAAAAATTCAAACGAATATATACACTATGTATCACCTCTTCAAAAACTTGTGATTAATGTAAACGACAAAGAATCTGAGAACAGTTATTGCGATGGTAGTGATTTATAATTATTTTTTTAGGTTAAATTTTTAATTTTTAAACAAATTGATGCATGTAAATAAAACCTGCTTTTTTCGTTAGGAGTATAAGGCAATATATTACAGACAGTAAATCTGTTAATATTTACTAGCGACCCCTGTTCTAGGGTGACCAATTATTGACGTAATACGTATTAATGGACAGAAATTATACCAGGGGTGCGTTCGTGGAATTTATTCAATAAACTAGAGGTAATGTACTGAAATAATGCCCGATTTATGTGCACATCGTTTGTAGCAGGTTATTTTATTGCTAGATTTTATTACTATTAAAACAAACGGTATTAATATTGCTTATCGCTACATTAAATTTCACACACAATTTCCATCAATCTTTGATGATCAAGACTATGATTTTGTTCTAAGAAATATTTATATTACTGATTATAATTTTAACAAAAATTTATATATTCTGCAAATCAACCTAAAAAATATATTCCTAATTGGGTACTAAATCACAGATGATGAATATTGTAGTAAATAAATAGTCCAAAAGGAGCTTACGATCTAAGCATTCCCGAGTAACAAAATATCAATTGAAACATACATTCGGTAATTTGGCAACATCTCAAGTCAATAATTAAAACCAAAGAGAGCGAATCCCCCTTTGAAAATTGTTATTTATCCGTTACAAAACCAGAACACCATCCAGCATCCTATTTAAATCAACTAAGTCCTAACTTCAAATAAAATTTAAAAAAGTAAGAGCTCGGTTGGAATATCATAGCGTATTATAGTCGGGGCGCTTGTGACTGACTGTGTATATATTTCTGAATGAAATTGGTGATTCTGTCAAAGTTACGAGTCCTGCACAATAAATTATAGTTCAAAAAAGGATACTTTAAATAAATATTGTATCGATTTTATAAAATGAATTTATTATAGTACACTTTAAAGCTTCATTTAACAGCATACTTATTTTTGCTTCAAAAAACATTAAATAAACTCAAGAGTAAAGTACTTTTATTTATTTAACTACTAGAAACAAAGTTACTTGAATAACTTCTTTAGATATGACATTCAAGATTTTGTTTGGAGACAATTTATGTAGCTATATATTTTTTTAATTTTACAATCATTGTAAAATTTATATTTTCAAAAAAAAGTTAATTTACAACCACTTGCAAAACCATAAATTTCTTCAGTGTAGAACTTAATTTTTTCATTTCTTTATTACTATATTCTTGTATAACCTATGTAGTTAGTTCGTTATAAAATTTTAAAAAATGTGAAAATAAATTATTCGGTTTTTCCCCTATATTAGAGTGGGAAATTAACTTTATTTAACACTAAAATGAGTTAACAATCCCCATGAAATGATAGATAATATTTTTATTACAATTATTTAGGTTTATTTTATACTTAATTTTCAATTTATTAAAAAAAAATACAAAATTATATTTTTTCTTTCTTATAGTACAACATATTTTACCATGGAGTGGTAAAATACTAACTACCTACCTACTTAATTTTTAACTATAACTTTTAATTAATAGAAAAAATCAACATAAATAATTAAATTATACTCGTATTTTGTTAATAATCTATTTACCTACTTTGAAAAAATTAGAAGATTCGGAAATGTTTTACTTTAAATACAGGGTATTATTTTAAAACCTATATATTATATCAAACATGACAAATATTTTTAATTTTTTCCTTTTTAAATTTAAAACTGAACATCTTTTTTGCTAATAGTCCGGTAAATTTTAGAATTAAGCATATAGATCAGCAATACGAAAATGGTAAAATATTGTTATTGCATTAGAAAAACTATTATGAAATGACTTCTTTTAAAGGAGGCTTTATGTAGTGAATCTGACAGAAGTCTGCGTCACGACTAAACAAACAATTGTATGAATGAAATAGGTATCATCTAGGTACCATCCGTGTCCAAGTTATTTATTATATGATAAAGACAGAAAAAATAAAATAAATGAAACGTAAAGCTATATGTCACATAAAATACGAGCAATCGTTTGCCTTCGGTAAAGAACTACTCCTTTAGATGATACCGCAACGGGTAATGAATTATATCCAATGGTCAGATAGCAGAGATAAATTTAATTTCAACACTCTACCTAAGAGAGGTAAGGTTAAATAATCAAGACTACAAAAATAAACAAACGGACTAGCAAAAAGGTTGCGAAATCTCGATAGTAACTCCGAAATAATAATCAGGAAAATAAATGAAGAAATATTTTTTTTTTATTTAAGATCACGATTATATTGGTTCCAATGCCAAGTAAAGGATTTTTGCCAAATTTATAAAAAGCAGTTGTATCTCAGGAACATGTTTAGTGGAAAATATATTTTGAAATTAACAATGAACAACGGCATACACTTTTGACTTTCATTGCGAAGAGGTGTTTGAAACTTTGAATATTAAAAATACGATCAATAAAGAAAAATTTTAAGCAGACACATAGATAATAAGAGTGTATTGGTTTGTGGAAAATATTTTTGAATATATTAAGAAACGTAGAAGATATAAAAAAGCTCTAAAAACAAAAGATGTGGAATACAATATGGTGCAGAAAGGAGAGAAATATGCATGATGCAATAGAGCAACAGATTAGTAGAATTATATTGTCGTTCAAAGACATCGAGAATATATTTTTATCTAGATATTTCATTGCGAAAGATGTATGTCACAAATAATAAAAGTTTTCTATTTGTACAACATGTCATAAGGGGGACGAGAATGTAAAAAATTGTTTAAAAGACTGATAATACAAATATTGAAGAAAAATCGTTTCCAGGAAAAGTAAAATGGAATGTAAACACTTTGTTATTGTGTGGTGTAGTGTATTTGTAGCAAGTTATATTTCTGCCAATTTCGAACAAATGCCCATCTTTTTATAAATGCCAATTGTCCAATGTTAACTCCACAAATTTCATTTTAATAAACGATTCCTGGACTGTAAGTTACTCCAAACATAAAAATAACTGAAATTATTAAAAGAAATGAAAAAGGCTTGTTGGACCCCGACTGTATCTTGTAAGTTTGATGTTGATACTAATAGAGTGCAAAGCGTCGAAACGATGTTATTTTTAACGGGGCCGTCGCTTTGATTTAACGTATTAAATTGAAGTTAACAGTTGACAGCAGTATTTAAAATAACATACATTTCTGCTTCTCGTCTTGATACATTTACAACTGGGTTTCTTAGACACTTTCAAAGGGGTACCGCACGAATTAATTGCTCATTTTATCAGCATAAATCATAATTTCCACGAATAATCAACGGATTTTATTGGTAATAAAACGTTGTAATATTCTGATGAATGTTTTCTAAAGATATACATTGTTTAGATGTTTAATTTCTTGGTTTCGTATTATAGAAATAGTCTTTATAAGGAGGATCGGAAACTGGCGGACCGCGTCCAGGGCAGTTTGATCGAGCTGATTAATGTAATGAGGTCTCCTTTTGCTCTTTAGCATAGAAAGTTTAAAGTTTCTATCTGTGAGTGTAAATCGGCGCATTGAGACCCACTGCAACAAAACAATGTCCTAGGAGTAAAAGTCAAGTAATTAAATGGTCCTGCAAATAAAAGAAGAATTAGCCGTCTTGTTAGACAACTTGAATACACAAAAAGTAAGGAAGCATTTGGGGTTCTTAGCAAACGAACGTAATATGCTGAAAGACATTCTGAAACATTTAAATGCGATCAAAATTGAAAATTAATATGCGATCTGATACAATGTATATCTTCCTTCCATCGTAAGTTTGATATCTTTAAAAAAGACATTACAAGCAAGAATTTGTTCACTTTTCAACAATTCTTAAATATAAAAATAATTTTGCAATATTTTCAAATTTTATGTCGGATCTTAGGAAGGAATTTGCACCACAATTATTCCAAGGCTTCTCAGAAATATAGAGATTGTCGCGATATTTAAAAACGCCTTTTGAAGTTGCTGCAGTGGCAGATTGGACTGAAGTGGCTGCGAAAACATTCCGCCTTGCGCAGGAAGAGATATAAAACTGCATCTACCTTAGAATTTTTTAGTAAACATGTCTCAGAAAAATATGGCAATTTCAAAAAATTTGCCATTTACCTGGTTACTATATTTGACTTCACAAATGTTTGTGAAACTTAATTTTCAATAAATTTGTTGAAGAGTCAATATCGCTCAAGATTAATGGCCACCCACCTTGAAAACACACTTCCAATAAGCTGTTCATCGCGTAGTCCTAACTTTAAAAAACTGGCTGAAGATTACAAATTAAATTTCTCACATTGGTTTTATATTATATAATTAAAATAAAAAACAACATGTCTGGACCTCGATAAACATTTTTAAAAGTATCCGGCCCCCACCTAAAATTACTTACCGACCCCTGCTCTATAGCCTAGAATTGCTAAATATTTTATTAGCTAGCAGCCTCTAAAATAAA